TTTAGCGAATAGGTGGGCGCCCGACTCCTGCACCTGCTTACAGAGCGGGCAAAGACCGCAGTTGTCCTAGCCATGTCGCTCTAGCCTGTCGGCGGTCCAAATCCGATCTTGTAAGGCCAGCCAGGAGAAGAATTTGACCTTAGGGGGCGCCCACATTTTCCAGACCATGGAGTCCATGGGGGAAAGCGTCAAACCCAGAAATTGTGCCTGTATGCAGTGGACGCCGAATATGAGCCATCCAAAGAGTGCTTCCAAATGATGTCATCCTCAGAGTGGATGTCGAGGTGTATGTCATGGATGAGCATCCAAAGAGTGAAAAATTCCCGCACATGCTGGCCAGTGATAGTGATGTCTCGTCTGATCGTAAGCATCCAAGCATTCTCTGTAATAGCCTCTCGCACCTTCCAGTTCTTTCTCCTCGAGGCCTCAAAGACGAGAGGTGCAATGTCCTTCGGCTTGCGGCCAAGCAGCCAGGGGGAGTCCTAAAAAGGCGTTTTGGCCCCATTGCCCACGATGATGGAAGTGGAGGCGTAGAAAAAATCACGGTCCTCCTCAGTGCAAGGGTTGCCCAGGCCGACCCAGAGCTTGGACGGCTCTTTCCATTCAAACCAAAGCCATTTGAGCCTCAAAGCACGAGCAAAATTGTCGGTGTTAAGAACACCCAAACCCCCATAGCTGGTGGGGCGGCAGACCATGTCCCAGTTGACTTTACATTTGGCACCGGTGGTCTTGTCAGAGCCGGACCAAAGAAAAGCTAGCTCAATCTTGTTGAGGTTGTCAAGGGAACCCTGCGGGACAATGAGTGGTGTGATGGAGTACACAGCCTGAGAGGTGATGACAGAGTGAACAAGGGCCGTGCGCCCAATGGTGGTGATGTTCTGCCCATCCCAGGTGACCAATTTTCCAGCTGCCTTGTCCTGGAGGTATTGGAAGTCAACTTTCTTCAGTCTCCAAACCGATAGCGGGAGGCCCAAGTATTTGATAGGGAAAAACGCCCTGGTCGCCGGGATGCTGCTGAGAATGCTCACAAGATCAAGGTTGGCGCATCGAATGGGAACGACAGAGCTTTTGTGGAAGTTGGTGCAAAGGCCCGTGACGTCTCCAAAGCCTTTTAAGATGGTTGCAAGGTTGTCAATATCACTCTTAATTGGCGCCATGAACACAGCAGCGTCATCCGCATAGAGGGAGGTTCTGACCATTGTACCTCGGCCACGAATCTTATGAATGATTCCCTTGCGCGTAGCCAAGTCGAGGATCGTGTGCAACGGGTCAATTGCGAGCACAAAGAGCAGAGGCGAGATGGGGTCTCCTTGGCGAAAACCACGTCCATGCCTGATGGGGGGGCCAGGCAGGCCGTTGAGGAGGAAGTGCGAGGACGAGGAGGAAAGCAATGCCGCAATCCAATTTCTGAATTTATCAGGGAACCCCATGCGTTGCATGAGATCCAAGACATACTCCCATCGGACTGAGTCAAAAGCCTTTTTGATGTCCAGCTTGAATAATAGAGCTGGAGTCTTGCACTTGTGCAGCCAACGAGCGAAGTTGCGAACATACATGAAATTATCATGAATGCTTCTCTTCTTGATAAATGCACTCTGCGCATTGGAAACCAGAGCATCCATGAGCGGCGCTAGGCGAATGGACAGCACCTTGGCGATGATTTTGGCAACGGCATGGATAAGACTGATAGGCCTATAGTCGGAGATCCCCTCAGCGCCGTCCTTCTTGGGCAATAAGACCACATTGGCAGAGTTTAGCCATTGTAGTTGTCCGTGCGCAGGGAGTCAAAGCAGTGGATGACTCACATGAAGTCCACCTTGATGAGGTCCCAACATTTCTTGAAGAAAATGTCGGTGAAGCCGTCCGGGCCGGGAGCTTTGTCGTTGGGCATTTCTTTGATAGCAGCCCAGACCTCGTCCTCGGTGATGACAACGCCAAGAGCGTGGAGGTTGTGATGCTGGATGTCAAGCTCATCCCAGTTAAAGTCTACGTTACTGTTGGTTCCAATCCGCCCCATGACCTCGGAGAAGTGGTCGTGGATGATCTTCTCCTTCTGCCCATGCTCAGTCACCCAACCGTGAGCCTGTTTGATGCAGTGAATATGGTTTTTTCTTCTGGCATTGACACGGCGATGGAAAAAATTTGTGTTCCCATCCCCTTCTTTGAGGTTGGCCACCCTCGCACACTGGCTCTTCCTAGCTCTCTGAAGGACCGCCAGGCTAATAACTCGCCGTTTAAGTCTAGCCCGAAGGTCGGACTCGGCAGGGGAGAGGAGACGCGTCTCTTGAGCAATGTCCAACCGAAGGATGACCAACAGAGCCGCATAGAGTTGGACGTTGGCCTTCGAGAACATTTTTCTACTCCATTCCAAAAGGCGGAGGGAGGTTTTTCTGAGCTTATGATGAAGGACTTGATAGGGCTCCAAGTGGGGCACGTGCTCGTTCCAGGCCGTTTGGATCACCTCAGTGAACCCAGGCAAGGAGACCCAAATGTTTTCAAATTTGAAGGAGCGGGGATGTCTGGGTCCTTTGTCATCTGCCAGGAGCAGCGGACAGTGGTCCGACAAGGAGGATGAAAGTGCGTGGAGAACGTGGGTGTTGTATGTGGTGTCCCACTCTGCATTGCAGAAGAAGGAGTCTAGCTTGCACAGGGTTGGATTGGATCGCTCGTTACTCCAGGTGAAGCGCCTGTTTTGAAGATGGATTTCCTTAAGCTCACAAGACTGCAGCGTCGCACGGAAGCGGTTGATCCTACTTGTGTTCACGTTTCTCTTATTTTTGTCCCTAGCACGATAAATTTGATTGAAGTCGCCTGAGGCCAATCAGGCGACTCCCGGCAGCGGCTTGTGGCTGAGGAGCTCCGCAAAAAAGGCATCCTTGCACGCCGAGTTGGTGGGACCATACATCGAAGTGGTTTTGAATGTAGCTCCAGTATCCCAGATGCGTACCGTGGCCGACAGACAATAATAAGATGTGGCAATGTCAGAGACCTTCAGGAGGCCTTGATCCCAAAGCAGGAGGATGCCGCCACGGGTCCCCTCAGCTGGCCGCTGTGCGAAGCCACGAAGCCTATTTCCGCCAATGGAAGCCGCAATGAACATGTCGATGGAGCTGAGCTTTGTTTCTTGGAGGCAGACAAGGTGACATGAGGTGCCCTCGATTGTTGCCTTAACAGTAGCCCTGCGGTCTGGGCAATTTAGCCCTCTCACGTTCCAACTCAGAGTGTCGATAGGTTGCTCATGCATGGGAAACATAGAGATTCTCAGGATACAATCTGATGGCAGAATACAACTTGGGGTTGAAGCAACTAAGGCAAGGCATAAAGCCAGTACTGCTAGCAAGTAGCAAGTTCCATGCCACACACGGCAAGGACCCCTTACAGGAAATGCAATCTAAAAGCACTAACATGGGATAACTAGACGACCCTACAGCGGCACTACAAGCAATTTTCTTCAAACTGTAGCTTCTTGCTCGCCCGTACCAGCAGCGGTAGGTTCCATTGTCGACTCTCCTCCATGCCCAATGAGGGCGTCTTCCACTGCGTTGACAGCGCCATTGTCCAGCTGGAAGAAATCACGCATGGCCACAATTATCTCTGGGGTCAGTTGCTCTTTGAATTTCAGCGAGAAAGCAGCAAGGGTGGCTTCAGTAACATCTTCTCCATCTCTGGTGATGCCCAGACTCCGGCATACCAGCCGTTCGGCCATTTTAGCCGCTGGTACGGCCTCGGGACGGACGGACGGGCGCCGCACACGCTGAAGCGAGATGCCCCCAGAGCTGTTGCAGATCTTCAGCCCAGCCATCGTCTTCCGGCGAGCTCGCAGGTTCTTAGGAGGAGATACAGCGGGTGGAGGTTGCGGGCTGCACAGCGAGGAGGCCCGCTCCAGCAGCGCCGGCTCTCGCACAAAAAACAACTGTGAAGGCAGCACAAAGCACAGCAGAGATCTCCAGCACCTCCATTCACCAAAAGTGTTTCCAGCACCAAGCATGCCTCCCCAAATGGACAAGAGGAGGACTACAGATGGGTGTATATATTTTTAGGAGTGTCGAGAAACTCCTTACCATCAGCAAGTTTCATGGAATGCACCCCATCAGTCAATATGCAAGACAACAGAGATCCAGTACCACTAGAGATAGCCATCAACAAATTCTGGAAGACAGTTCCAGATTTCTTGAGGTTCAGGAGTTCAGTAGCTAAAGAAACTCATGAACACAGGGTGGTGTTCCTCTTTTCTACTTCCTCCGTTCCCAAATATAAGTCTTTTTAGAGATTCCAATATGGACTACATACAAAGCAAAATGAGTGAATCTGCACTATAAACTACGTCTATATACATCTGTATG